AGAGAGTGTTAAGAGGGAGGAGTGTTAAGAGTGTTATGAAGGATTTTGTATTAGTTCCAAATTCCACTGCAAGACTTTTTTTTTCCTTTTCTATTTAGAAAAGAGCACTTAAACTACAACAAAAGAAGCAGAAAGAAGAACTGGAAAGAGAACAGCAACGTGAGAAGGAGCTAGAGAGAGAGAAGCAGCTAACAGCAAAACCTGCAAGGAGGACGTGAAAGCAGAGCATGCAACAACTTGCCCAAATTAATCATTTCTGCATTCTCTGGAATTAAGGCAAACTTTGATTAAACCAGGCTATAGTTATTACTAACAACAGTCTACTCTGGTGTTATAAATTCCAGAATGTTAATAATCAGATTCAAATTTTTCACTTCAGTCATTCAGGTTGCCTTCTTTTGTAAAGCTATGCAGTTTGATACTATTACAGTATAAGTTAATTTTATATATAAATATATATATGTATATTGGAGAACCTAGGCATCGTGGGTATTTAAATCTCTATAACTGAAATATCTGGTGCTTAGAATTCTGAGAGCTGTTTGGTGATTGGCATATTTATGTTCCAGACAAAATACGGAGTCGTAGCTGTTAAAGTTCAATGCTGGTACCTGGACTGCAGAGCCCATCTGTTATACCCAATCTGCATTGATTCTGGCAGTTGTAATTTCTTTTCAATGCCATGAATCAGAAATAGACTTTTTTTTTTCCAACTTTGATTTAGTTGCTTATTGGTTTTTCCTTTTGTGTGAGTAATTGAGCTGAACAATTTCATTTTTATGTGGAATTCAGTTATTTGTAGGAAAAGTTAGTGCATTTTTTTCATTTATTCATGTGCATTTATGGGCTATGTGAGCTAGTGTTGTATGCTGTCCTTCCTTAAAATGATTATTATTAATGAACGTGATGATAAATATTGTATGGCTGTTGATATCATTTCTCTGAATTGAATTATTTGCAGCACTTTGTGTGAACTCCTTGGACTCAGGGCCTGGACTCTACTGTGCTGCATTTTTTCTGAAGTCCTAATTTCTACTTGTAAGACTTTTTTTTTTTCTTTGAAAGACCTACTGTTATGAGTAGTCAGCAAAACGTTGCAGTTCACTTTGTGTGTTTGGAGCAAGGAGAACAAACTACTGAAGTAATCTGAAATGCCTTTTCTGAAGTAGTAACAGGATAAAACTGAAGTTGGCTTTTGTTTTGTCTTAATTGCCAGTGGATTGCCAGTGCTGTGGTTTATGTGTATTTCTGAAAGAAATGTTACAGAATTTCTACAGTCCATTTTTGGAGCAAAATGTACATAACTGAATATTGTTAAGGTTTTTTTTTTTATTTTATAATGTAACTTCAGAATTAGTTTTTAGGAATTTAGACAATTCTTATTAAAATGAAATGCCTCATCATTAATCATCAAGATTAATTTCCTTTGATTTTTCTCATTTGATGTTACCTCAGCTGGTATCCAATTCAGTGTTTCATGTTGTGTGTTGGTTGGCAGGTTCTCTGTTTGTCTGCTTGTTTTTGGGGGAAAGCTTGTGAGCTGTTTTGCTCTTTCTTCCCCCCCTTGTTGCCCCCCCAAATACCATGGTCACTTCTACTGAAAATACAGAATTCTAACCATAAAAATCAATGCTTTTTGCTAGACTGAGTAATTTTATTCCTGTGTACATCTTCTTACTCATTGTACCAACTTGTTTTTGAACCATAAGGTCATTGCAGTGAAATTCACTTAAATGTGCAGCACCATTTTGAATTTCAATTTTGTAAGATTATACAAATGTATGAATTATTGTGAATTACGAGTGCTGACTGAGGAATCTTGGTTTCCTGTGCTTTTATCACTAGATTTAACGTGTGTGCTTAATTTGGGTACCCACTCCCACCACTGTTCTGGTTCATTTTGGCCAACTTTTTAATTCAGTGAAAGTTGACTTTTTTGCTGACATTGGTAACTTTGCTTTATGGGCATAGTAAATATTTGTCTTATATTTTCCTCTTGGAAAATAATAACAGAATATGCTACCTGGTTTTAGTCTGTGTGCCATGACTTGAGTGATAATAGGCATAAATAGTACCGTGCAGGTTGCTTATGGAGCTGTTCTGTTGGCATTCTTTTTTGGGAGTCCTCTGGCCGATTTATTCCCGGTGGTGCTTCAGTAGACGCTTTCTGCCACCTACCGTTTGCTTTGCAACACTGCTGGTTATTTTAATTCTGTGCTTGGATTTTCAATGTTGGAGTAATTTTTTTAAATCTAAGTGGTTTAATTGTTGGTTGATTGGTTCATATTTCTCCCCCCCCCCCCCCCCCCCCTTGGATTAGTTGTGCGAATGCATGATGTAATGTGGTTTATATAAAGAACATCTGGCCTGATAGAACGGTCACAGAAGAGCTGTAAGTTGGGACCTAAGAGGGTCACAACAGGGGTAATGTGGAGGACTTATCTGTTTTCCTCCAGACAGCAACTGCTGATAGTGGCAGATCTGGGAGTTTACCACTCTGCCTCCCATCCCTACTCTAAGTGTTGCTCAGGATGTGAGCGCTGATGTTGGCTGTGCCTGCTAACTTAATACTTCCATTTGTCCTTGTTTCCCATCCATCCATTTATATCTATGATGTCAAGTCATAGGGTTTAAATCAAACATCCTGCCTAGAAATGTGAGGGGGAAAAAAACAGCAAATAGGAGAAAAAAAATCTGTAGAACTCTTGCAACAAGTGGATTGCAACTTAATGAAGCAAATCAATTAAAGCTTGATGTAGAATAATTTTAAAATCTACACATTTGAAGGCATTAATCTCTAAAACAGTAACAGTAATTAGTTTGGCACTGTCACTGACAGTGAGTTGTGAGAGAAAAGGCTGAGCTGCACTGTCTAACATATTGCAATAAATATATGCTCCAGAACTGCTGTGAAAACAAGACTGTCTTGACAACAAGACCTGTAAATTAACAATCTGGTGTATTGCCTTGATGAGCAAGACTTGTGGGGTTTGATTTGTTTTATTTTTTTCCTGTCATCTGGGACTCAGAGAGTCCCAGGTAACGAGTAATATCCTGTGCAAATACAGCCTGCAAGAGTAATTACAGAACAGTTAATTGGAACCTGTTGCTGCCCCATCGCCTAAAAGCAGTGTCCCAGTCCTTCAGCAGCTCAACAGAGGTTGCTGATTTTTCCAGTCCTTAAAATTGGGTAGAAATCATGCAGGTACACCATGTATGAGAATGTATTTTTATTTCTGCTTCTGCTTTGCTTTGCTTTTACTACTGCTGCTCTTCTGCTAGCCTTACAGATGCTCTGATTTAGAGGTATGCTAGAGGAATATCTCCAAAAGAAAACATCAAAGATAATGTGAAAGGATTACTGCTTTTCTTCACATTGTCCAGTGTTGCAGAATTCATTTGGGATTGTACTTGCTGTCAGGTAGGCACTTTCCAATGGAAAATAATACCCACTTTGGAGAGCTTACTGTTGAAGTCTAGACAAAAACATATATAAATTGCATTTAGAAAAGTAAAGGGAGGTACAGTTCTCTTTGAAGGTGTGAGCTGATAAGTAATACATTGCTGTAGGCAGATATTGAAATGTACTTGGCTGGGCAGATCCAGTGCTGTGCTGGGAAAGGAGGGCTGACTAGAAATGGATTCCCTTACCCACAAAGACAGCAGCTGCTTCAGGCACCTCAGCTGAACTAAAGCAGATGGCTGTCTGTGGAAGGTCATTACTTTTAGCTTAGATTTCACCAAGCTGTCCTGGGGAGCATCAGTATAATGAACAGATTAAGCAATATCTTTAGGCTGCGTGCACCAGGCTTCTCAGCTGCCTGCCGGGCAGAGAGCATTACCTGTCACTCCCATGGCCCACTGAGGTGCCAGCAGCCCCAAGTGCACAGCTAGGCAGCATGCCTTCCCTCCATCTCTCCTGGACCTGGCCATTATAGGTGCCAGGCAGCTCCCCCTGCAGCCACAGGACGGCTCTGTGCTCAAGGTACCTACCTCGTGTTTGGTCTGTGTGTTTATAAGTTGTTCAAGGGGTACGTTTATTTCTTTAACATTGCAAAATTCTGTAAGAACTCTGTGAGGAAAAACATTAGGGAAATATTTTAAAACTATTCTAAATACATTCTGTAAAAAAATAAAAATTCTCAGAGCATCAGCCTTTTGGAAGAAAGATGTGCAAAAAGCAGTGCTTCAGGTACAGCGGGCAGCTGCAGTTGGCAAGCAGGGAAGCACCCTGCAGATGGCCCATTCCCAGCTCCTCTTTCTCTCTTGCACGAGGACTGTGAAAAAGCTTGATGGTATTTTCCAATTTAAGTCCTCAGCACCTTTGCCTCATTCTTTACAGCTTTCCATGAATGCTGTTATCAGCTCAGCAGTTCTGCCTAAGCAGAAAACGTGCCGAGACGGGAAGGCCAAAGCTCAAGAAGGAAACGTTTGATGCATGATTTGGGTCGCTGCTTTTTTTTTTTTTTTTTTTTTTCTAATTCCTGTGATGATTTCAAATAAGTAATTTTAAGTAATTTTGTCTTTGCATGCTTCTCTCAGCTCTGATGTTTGCATGACTTTTCTTGGCTCAACAAACATGACTCAGTGGATTAACGACTGTTACTACTTCACCTCTCACCATGCCATAAATCAAAGGCCCTATAAAGACTTTGGGGAGAACACAGCAAGACCGAGCTCGGCAGCTTGTAGCGGGCTAAGGGGATCCTTTGCTGGGTGCGTTGAGCTGAATTGCAGCTTGGTTTCACTCTGAGGCTTTGATGGTTTGTTTTTGTTTTCCGATTTTGGTGCAGGGAAAAAAAAGTTACCACGCGAAGGTTACCAAGTGAAGCTGCTAGATAACGAAATCTATTCAGAGCCGGAGGTACGGGGCAGGCTTGGAGCCAGCAGCAGCGGGCCGGGGCTCACCGCCCTCCCGGCCTTCGCCCGCCCGCAGCCGTCCAGCACCTGGCGGCGCTCAGCTCCGCCCCGCCGCGCCCCCGGGGGCAGCACCCGGCGCTCGTCGCGTGAGGGGCCGGCCGCGCGATCCGGCAGCCCTCGGGGCCCCTCCGGCGGAGCGACGGGCAGGCGAGTGCGAGGCGGGACGGTAAGAGGTCAAGCGGAGCTCGTGGGCCGCGGTGCGAGGGGCCGGGGCTCACCCTGCAGGGGGCGGGAGGGGCCCGTGCTCTGGCGGCGCGTGAGGTGCCATGTTAGCGCGCTCGGAGCGCTGGAAGGTAACGTGCTAAACGCCGGCTCTCGGGGATGGCTGCGCGCTGTTTACTTTCTGCGCTCAGACTTCTCTAACCCGGCTCCGCTCGGCTCCCGGCGTCAGACGGCTCCCGAGCTGGCTTGTCGCTGACAGTAACTGCTCTCCCCGTGGGTTCTGCGGAGCTGGCTGAGGTTTGGGCTCCTTCGGTCTGCAGTAGAGAAAGCTCCGCGGAGAGCAGCCTTCCAGTGCCTGAAGGGCGCTTACAAGCAGCAGGGGGAGCGACTTTTTGCACGGTCTGGTCGTGGTGGGGCAAGACGGATTGGCTTTAAGCTTAGAGAGGGCGGATTGGGATTAGATGTGAGGGAGAAGCTCTTCACTCAGAGGGCGGTGAGGCCCGGGCATGGGCTGCCCGGAGCTGTGGGTGCCCCATCCCTGGAGGTGCCCAAGGCCAGGCTGAGTGGCCCTGGGAGCTGAGCTGGGGGCACACAGCCCATGGCAGAGGCTGGGGGGCTGTAGGGTGCCCTGTGATCCAAGCTGCTGTGTGATTTGGCTTTAGGAACACATTTTATGCTAGGAACACCATTTCTGTTCTGCTGAGTTTGCTGTTTTATTGAGTGGGGGTTGGGATCATTTTCAGCCAGGTTTTTCTTTCAAGCTAAACTTAATAGAAAGTTGGCAATGATTTTCTCTATTATGCTTGTAGAAATGTGGTTTGCTTGTTTTTTTTTCAATGGCAGCTTAACAAGGATGGTTCTTGTTTTGTGTTCTCAGTCCTTTAAAGGTCTGTAAGCCGCTAATTCTGGAAAAAAGTTTCCTATATTTGTTTTTGACAGGAAAGTCACTATTGTTCTGTTGATGTAATCTCCATCTGTTTAATGGGATTCAGGGACCAAATAATACTGAGCTCCCCCGGTCAGTCTAACTGATTTTTCAACACATTTTCTTTAGCATTAGGCAGCTATTCCAGAATCGTGCATATACAACATATAGTATAGCATATAATATAAAGTATATAATCTTTATTACCACACCAACACATTTTTTCTTTTTTTGAATCTCCTTTTTCTACAAATAGCCTTACAGTAAAAGAGACGAGAGAGTTATACATGGAATCGGAGATTATCTTCAAGCTAAGACTGTTTTAAAAAAGCTTTTAAATGCTACCCCTCCTCACAGTGACGCCATTTGTGGTGAACTTGCTATGAGTCACATTGTGACCTGATTTTTACGTGGTGCTACAGGACTTGTGCTGCAGTAGCATTACACGAGCTTCCGTCACTGTAACAAACCATGTCCTGAAAGCATTCGCAATAAATTTACCTCTCATAGTAACAGAACTAGTTTTAAACCAGTTGTCATGGGCGAAGAGGAGCCGTCGCTGAATGGAGGAGTGCTCTGAAGCACATCAGCATGTGATTTCATGCAACATAAGGGGTGTTTTGTTGTGTGTGGTTCAAAGGACGCTTGGTAAGAGTGCTTTATGATACAGTGGTCTTTTAAAAGCTTAAGACTTCAGCCCAATTCAGTCGACTGATCAGTGATTTTCTATTTTTTCTTTCAGTTCTGTTATTCTCTTTCTCTCCAGTTCCCAAATCAGAGGACTGATGTGTAGTTGATGGAGTGCAGCTGTTAGTTTGAGAGTTTGATACCAAGAATTTTGCTGTTTGTTTCTGAACATCTGCCTACAAATGACGTTTCAGATTGTTGTTTGTGCGTGCTCTAAAACAACTTGAGAGCAAAGAAATGCTGCACCCTAATCCATTAGATGGCTGTTAGTTAAGGCACATCTTGCGTGTGTTTATAAGCATGCTTAATTCAAAATCAACTCAGAGAGGATAATTGTCCCTTACTTAGCATTACAAAAATGAAGTCCTGTTCCCTTGTTCTGGGCATGCTGTGCACTGCTGAGCAGCTGGTCACTGTGCCTGTTTCACTTGCTTAATGAAACCCAACCACAAACCCCGGGTTCATGAACTTCCAGGAACAAGCTGTCCTTAAAGCTGTCACAGACGGAAGTTGCAGAAATTATTCAGCATAAAAACTCCTCTTTCTTGGAGGGAGTACGAAGCATCTGCGCTAGATAGATTTTGCTCTGGGTAAACAGAAGCAACCTTCTAAAGTGAAACTTAACATACCTGGAGTTGGTGCTCTTCTGTAGGAAAGAGGATAAGAAGAACATATCTATACCTTGAGACCTTCCTTTAAAACAAAGTGGGAAAAATAACTTATACCAAGGATACTTCCTATGTTTCCTCTTCTCCTTCCTAAGTTGTTTATGCTTTGAGGATAATAACAGCATTTCTGAACAATTTGGGATACTCGAGTGAAGGATTTTAAGATGGCACGTGAAGGTGCAGAATGAGTTGCTCAACTAGACGTATGGTTTTGTAGAGAATTCTTGATGTTGACCTTTGGAACTTTTCTTGAAAATATTTGAATTCTCTGATTTAGTTTTCAAATTCCTCTCTGTAAGAGTCATATACAAAGTCTGCCCTTCTGAAGTGAAAAAGCTGGAGTTCCTGCACAATGATTCAAGGAATTAAACAACAGGATGTAGATGAAAATCCTGTCATAAGTTTCTTTTCAAGTCGTAACACCTTATTGGCAATATTGCAATGAGGAAATGAATTAAAATGAGTTTATACCTGTTTTATTACTGAAAAGCTTCAGAGTGGTATTCATCATGTGCAAGTAATGTATTCATAAGAAGGAAGGATCTTGTTCATTGTAGCAGAGGGAGGGAAACATATTTATGGGGATCAACTTTGACTGACTTCAGGTAAGGTAATTGCACTCCCCAAAGCTGCACTTCATGGTTTTAACTCTTGTTTGTCAAGTGAAAAGTGTAGTTGTAAGCAATGATAAATAGGGATTTCTGGCCTTTGCTTGCAACAGTTTTACTCTTGTAAATTTTGGGTGTACTCAAATATCCAAAATCTAGGAAGGTGTAAAGTGTCGTTTCAATGAACTTTCTTTTCCTGTCAAGCCTAGGGCTCAATACCTCTCCTGCAAAAGTAGACTAGCCCATGTGCCTTGTTCAAAGTGCTGTAAAACTCTCTTGATTACCATGATGTCTTGTAGCCCAAAGAGCCAAGAGAGGGCATATGTCTGAGCTGTGCATATGCTGGTATACGTTAACGTTAAAATACAAACACAGTTATTCATTTGCCTGACGTTACAGTCAGCAGAATGGCACTTGGTATGTTTGCACAACTAACGTTTGCTGTTTCAATGGTCTACAACTCCAGATCCTACAACCCAGCAAGTCCTTTTCTTTTTTGAGACGTTATTCTCTTCAGGGTGGTAATGTTACAGCAAATGTCCTAGCTATGCTATAGGATCAGACGTGCTTTCCTGCTAAGATAAGGTGAAAAATGTATTGTCATTTGTTAGAATTCATTTGCTTGTATGAAGTTTTAATTTTCTGGCAGAGTCCATGGTTTGGTTTTTTTAATAATCTCCAAATTGCTTACAGTCAGTTTGCAAGTTTATTGTTTTAGCTGCAACGAAAGTTTAGTGTTATAATTCTTACCTTGAAGACATATCTGGCCATATAGATAAATAAAAACTGCCTTATGTCATTAACTGGTACTTTTCCTTAACTTGCAGCTTCCACTTATTGAAAGATGTCACCAGTTGGAGCAGCATTGTCCTGTTCCTGTCTCCGCCCTGGTGTATGGCTGCTGAAGGCAAGCATACAGAAGAAGAGCTTCCTTGGTTTGCATACAGCAGCTGGGTGTGCTGCCAAGGATTATTATGAAGTACTTGTGCTGGGTGGAGGCTCCGGTGGAATCACCATGAGTGCTCGGATGAAGAGGAAAGTGGGGGCAGGAAATGTAGCTGTGGTTGAGCCAAGTAAGGTAGGTCTTCCTTATGCTGAAAGAGAAGGCATTTGATGTATGTGATCAGTTCGATCTGATTCTCATCCCTTTCCAGCCTCACTTTCTGTGGAGAGGAAGCCAACAAAGTTGAATTTAGTAAGCTTGGCATGAGGTTTTTTTCTCCCATCACAGAGATGCATACATCCCTCCAGCTTTTTCAGGCAAAACTCTTAGTTATTTGTATACTTTCTTTTGTTAAGAATAGAATGTTAGCAGACATTGCCTCCTATTTGGAGTAATATGCCGTCATAATCAAGTGCAATTAAATGGTTCTTAAATGTCTGTTAAAACATTTATTTCAGACTCATTACTATCAGCCTCTGTGGACCCTGGTAGGTGCTGGTGCAAAGCAGCTGTCAGCTTCTGCACGTCCAACAGAGAGGGTGATGCCTGAAGGTGTGAAGTGGATTAAATCTCGCGTTACAGCATTGGATCCAGATAAGAACTGTGTCAGGCTGGAGAATGATGTCAAGGTAATAATGTTAGAAGAATGTTATTCTGTGTCATGAGTTATCTGTCCACCTGCAGATCCCCTGCCCATGGAGTAAGGCCTTCCCCAGCATCTAGGAGGCTAAGAAATTTGCTTAGGTCTTATAAGAAGTATAAGTATATTCTAATGTATAGAATACCTTGCTCAAAATGTCTAGTTCTGTTGTAGCAAATCTTGTGTGTAACTTCTCATCCAGTAAATATTGTAAACAATTATAAAACAATAAATATTACTCAAACTTAATGCCAACTTTACTAATGCCTGCCCTTATGAAATTATTGCTGTCAGATAATTTAGATTTGCTGTGATGTAATGCTTTGTTGTGTTCAGTCTTTTTATTTTTTTGTCTAATTTTTTTCCCTTACTCAACAGATATCTTACAAGTACCTGATAATTGCCCTTGGGATTAGTCTGCATTATGAAAAGGTATTTGTTTTTACAGTAATTATGTTTTTACTAGTTTTAATGGCATCACTGGCCCTCATGATTCACTAAAGTAAATGGCTTTTCAGTACACTTTTTCTACTTCAGGATACTGAACACTAATATGAAGTAAAGAACCAGAAGGCAGCTTAATGACTTAAGTATGTCCCTCCATAGATCTGTATGTAGCAAGCCAAATTACCCTTAGGAAGCTCTTTTAAGGTAGCTTTGTGGCATCTTTATGGCAACATCAGCTAATGAGACATAAGTGCAGTCAATAATGCGAGTGAGATATGCTGGTAGTAGAGTGAGACATCTCTAACGTAACCAGAAACACACAGCAGTTAGTGAAATATGTCCTGCAGAATCAATTTGACCCACACTCTACCACCTCTCTTGAAGGATACACTTTAAAAGGGACCAGCTGAGTTACATCTGTGCTTAAATAGGCCCTGGGACCCTTCCCATCTCTGTTAGTTTTCCTGTATGCTTTCTACAATGGCACTTGAAGAAAGGTGTTAGTGCTGTTGTATGGTGCAAGAGTGATTGTAGCAGTGCACAGGAAGAGGAAAAATACAAAGGCAGGATGTTTGTGGGGCCTGACCCTGCTGACTTTAATGTGACCTGCATGTGATGTAGTAACTAATAATATATTTGAGTTTCTTTGTTAATAGCTCCCAAGGCACACATGCAAAGCAGGAATTAATTAACCAGAGTCGCACCGAATGAAATTCAGCTGATAAGCACAGCAGAATGAGGAACAGCACTGTGTTTTATTGGTTTTTCTCAGTCTCCATGTAAATCTCTACAGTACGGCTTGAAAAAAAAAAACAAACAAACTCAGTATTTGGAAATTCAGAACTTGGCACTGGAAGCCATGTAATGCAGTCAGTCACTATTACTGTGTAGTGAGCATAGTAAATAAAATTCACAGTAATAGATTGGTATGGCATTAAACCCAAAGTGGCCAGTTTAAAAAGGTTGATTTTTCTTATTTGTCTTCACTAACAGCATAATTCCTGGTGTAGAGTGTAGTGTCTCAAACCCGTTGCAGTGTATGTAATGTGACTCAGTTTCCTCTTAGAAGTTCTGCAAACTGTTACTTCAAAGCAGAAACTACTGCCTTTCTCAAAAACAGATGCTTGAGCGTAGCAGAAGTAGTGAGAAAAAAAATTATTGGAGGCAGAACCAAAGCAGAATATCTTTAAGAAATACTTCAGATATCTGAAACTGAGCACTGAAAATCTTTCTTCACTGTACGAATTTTTGTAATGCTTTTTTAATGTCAGTTTTCCCTTATGATGATGTGGCAGTGACTTCTTGTTCTTACTCTGAATTTCATGCTTCGCTCTGTGCTGAACACTTACAGTATAGATGTTGCAGAACTGTCATTTCAGTAAACATTCATCTATTAAGTCATCTACTAAGCTCTAATGAAAATACCTATTTGAGTAGTAAACATATTCAAAAATACAACTAACATATGGGCTCTTTTTAGCTGTGGGCCTCTTAAATTGTCTTGAGAAATCTCAAGTCTCCGTTTAATACTCGATGATGAAGACAAAATTCCTGCTGTTTATATGTTAAACCTTAATTTTGTTTTCTTAGATCAAAGGTTTGCCTGAGGGTTTTCATCACCCTAAAATAGGTTCCAATTATTCAGTTCATACAGTAGAGAAAACATGGAAAGCCTTGCAAGATTTCAAGGAAGGAAATGCTATCTTCACTTTTCCAAACACTCCGGTGAAATGTGCAGGGGCTCCTCAGAAAATCATGTATTTATCTGAGGCCTACTGGAGGAAAGTAAGTATTCTGTTTGTTCTTCCAATGGCTGCTCCCACAGTTGTAAGGAAGATCTGTTCTAAGGGGTTTGTTGTATTTCTTTTATGACAAATAAAATTGCAGGAGATAAATATGACTCAGAATTATTAAAAGAAAATGACCGAGTTGTTTTTTCTGTTATTAGTGTGTACTAAATGAAGCTAACTGAATTATGCATAAGTATCTTAGTAATGTCTGGAGTAGCTTGCAGAATTCATAAGGGATGAACTGCTTAACCTGCTTAGAAAAAACTACCAATACAAATGTTCTCAGCCTCGTTTACAACTTCACGTGGAACACTGAAATCACAGTGGCTGAGCATTCGTTCTTGTTCCTTTAAGTAGTTAATACTTGATGTGGATTGTCTTTCTGCTCATCTGAGAAGTGATTATCCTCACTCCTCCTGGCACAGTCTCAGTGACAGGAGAGGTTTTTGCTGGGCTGGGAAAGTGAATTTAATGGAAACAGAAGCCAGCTTCAAGTGAAAGTGTCAGACTTCATGCATGCTTTAAATTTCATGAGCTGTCTACTGAGTGGATACCTGAATAATGCACAGAACTGATGGTTTCAGAGTGCTGTGTAGTGCTAAGCTATTATATTTAACCTTTATACAGTAGTGTTGTTCAGCATATTGCAGCCGCTCTTCTCACTAGCAATCTGTATGAATCTTCAGTATCTCATTCTGAACAGGTGAGGCATCGAAAATATCAAAGTACAAGAATGTGTCTTGTCTAACATGCTGTGAAATAGCTGTTTCTCAAGAGTTCTAATGTTAATGCTGCAATAAGCACCAAAATGCACTAATAGTTCTGTCAACTCCGTAGTGTGGCATAATTCTCTTGTTTCAGCTTATCAGACTTAATAATTTGATCTTTCCATGCAGACAGGAAAACGACCCAAAGCAAACATAATGTTCAACACTTCACTTGGTGTCATTTTTGGTGTTAAGAAATATGCTGATGCATTGCTTGAAATAATAGAGGAGAGGAATATTGCTGTTAACTATAAGTGCAACCTTGTTGAAGTTCGAGCAGACAAGCAGGAAGCTGTGTTTGAAAACCTGGACAAACCTGGAGAGACTGAAGTTCATGAGGTTAGATTTCAGGTCTTTAGTTCGATCTTTTCTCTTTGTATGTGCAGTAACATAACTGCATTATAATAACATAATATCTGTTGCTCCATTGTAAACTGCTACTTTATCCTTTTAGTACCATCCTCAATTTTCAAAGATTGAAAAGCTTGAAAGTAAGGTAGAGAGAAGGGGTGGGGGAAGTGGGGTGGAGGTAACAAAGCATGCCTGGAGCTCTGTGTACCTTGTTGTGTAACTTGGGAATGTCTCAGGCATATATGGAGGAAAGCAAACTGCTGTTAAGGCAGCTTACATGCTTTATATATGGCAGCTAATGAGGTTCCTGTTAATAGAGAACTTGGAACAGATGCATCTATTTAAAAGCAAATTTTCACTCTACATGCTTGTTTTTAAAAAAAAAAATAAATTGTTTTTATATTGTTCTTATATCCTAACATCAGTATAGTATGATCTGTTCTTATCAATTAGCCATTTAGTACTTTTTCTTTCTGTCTAGTATGAAATGCTTCATGTCACACCCCCAATGGGGCCACCTGATGTGCTTATCAACAGCCCTGTCTCTGATGAAATCGGCTGGGTAGATGTAAATAAGGATACTCTGCAACATAAGAAGTATCCTAATATTTTTGGTATTGGAGATTGCACCAACCTTCCAACATCAAGAACTGCTGCGGCTGTAGGTAAAGGTGTCTGTGTGTTTATGTGTTAGTGTGATGGAAAGTGTAGCAGTGACAGTAAGCTTCTAAACAAGCACAGTTTAATTTGTTACTCTTGAGGTCTTAACTCGGTATGTTTTTTTTCCATCTTTCAGAAAGACTTCAGTTCCTTGGACTGACTAGCTAGTGATTATACTGATGCCATCAATTCTCCATTTTCTTATTCCAAATACTTCACAGTTGGACTAGTTCTATTTTATGTGTTCTCAGAATGGTGTAAAATGAAGTTGTTACTGAATTTTGGAAGGATGCAAGGGTAGCAAGTCTTTCTGCTCTATCTTAGAAGCTCACACATGTCAGCTGATAAGTTACTGCTGAAGACTCGTGTGTGTTCTGTACTTGTAGCCACAGGGTCCAATATGAAAATACTCCAGGTACATGATATCATAACTAAAAAATAAAAAGATAAATCTGAGAGTGGAAAAAAAAGGCCATACAGTATATTATTAGTCTAACAAGAAGAATGATATAGATAACTATTGCAGCATTAGTCTGGAACTTCCCTTGCAGCATTAAAAATGAGAGAGCAAGCAAAACTTCAGTGCTGGAGTCTAAAATGTTTGGGAAGACCAAACAAGTGTAATTTAGCATAGGAGAATAGACATAGGCTAAAAACACGCAGTTCAAGCTCTGTCAAACCTTTGCATGTTGGAAGCAATGGGGCCAAAGCATTATTTCAAATATGATTTCCTCCCCCCAGCCCCTTCCCCGTCTTAGACTGTAAAGTTCCCAATCTGATTTGACACAAGTTCAGTTACAGTTGAATTGTCCACTAAATACACTGTTTGCTCCAGTAATGACAGTAATTGCTGTCTAAAGCAAAGTCTTACGATATTTATATATATTAAAAAAATATAAAGTATTTACATATTCTTTTCTATTTCCTGTTATGTAGCTGCCCAATCTGGAGTGCTTGATAAAACTATTTCTCTGGTAATGAAGAACCAGTCACCAACTAAAAAGGTACCTACAGATCTTGTTTTAGTGGCAATGTTATACGCAGGAAGTTCTGCCAAGACAAGCAGTTAAACTACATGAACTGAAGATAGAAAGGGCTTTGTGTCAGCAGTGGAGGTGTTAAATAGCTTCTTACTGTATATCATAATAACAGTAGTACTACTATAGTAGTAATTGGCACAATTATACACAATTTCTTCAGAAACTTCTATTTAAATCTTAATGAGTTAAAAGAAGGTGGAAGGCTATTAGGTTGGGTTCTTCAAGGTGGATTTTTAGTGTAGGCTACTCTAACCCCTACTCCAAGAAAACCCTCACAAACTTCACACATCTATGCTATGTGCAACTTGTCTCCCCTGTACAGGAAGCTAACTTCTAAGGAGTTACATTGACGTTTTTGTACTACAGAAGCTCTTAAGCTTGTGACTTTGTTCAAACTTCTCTTTGAGACCTAGCTCTCATTTTATGCATGGCTTCTCAGTTAATATTCCTGGAGTACTCACCTGAGTTTCAGTCTGTTTCTGCTGTGATCCCCTGCAAATTCTTACAATTATATTTGAGATGGTTTATATGCTGTCTGTTAAGACAGCACTAGCTCTCATTCTCTGCTATTGTCACCCATTCTATTGGTCACAATAATAGCCAGCAATTAATGACACAAAGCCTTTTAGGCAGTTGTTTAGGTTCCTTCCAAGCACTGTTACAATGCCAATCTGTGATCTGCCACTGAAAGAAAATAGTTACGATCACTGGCCCAAACTGGCAGCGTTTTAAACTTAATATTAACACTATAAATGCAGAAACCTAGAAACTTATTTTGAAATAAGAATGTTAGATATAAGGGTGTTATAGCTTGCAATACTTCAGCATTTGGCCTTTAATCAGATTAATGAGAAGGGTGTATTCTGTTGCAGTATGATGGATATACTTCCTGCCCACTAGTAACAAGCTATAACAAGGTGATTCTAGCAGAATTTGACTACAATGCTCAGCCTTTGGAGACCTTTCCCATTGACCAAAGTAAACAGAGGACAACAATGTACCATATGAAAGCTGATATGATGCCCTTTCTCTATTGGAATGCGTTACTCAAGTAAGTATTTTAAGTCAGGGCAGGCATGGCTGCTGTGATTTTTATTTTTTTTTTTTTTTCAAGGCAAAGCCAGGTATCTGTTCTGGCTTACAATTCTTCAAAAGAACAGAAGGTGTTGAACTTATCTGCAAATCTAGCAACTGAAGTGTATGCTTAGTCATCATTACGTACTCAACTTGTTGAGTGTTCTGGGTACTTTGCTGCTGATAGGATTTTGTGCTAGAATATTTAATATAAGAATAGAATGTATCTAGCACTCCATCTTAGTAAATAAAAGTATCATATGAGAGTAAAAAAAAAAAATCCTTCTTCACACTGTGATAATGCGTGCAGATAAATGTCTTTGACTTGATGAAACAACTCTTCTTTTCCAGGGGATACTGGGGAGGACCAGCTCCTATCAGAAAGCTGATGCATCTAGGCTTGAAGTAAATGTTGGTTCTTAGCTCAAGTTCTTGAAGAAATAAGACTGGCCTCGTGCTGGATGAGTACGTATACTTCCTTTTGGACACCTCCACAAGAGACAGACTTTTTTAATCAAGTTTTTGTCCCGAACTCTAACTTTCTGCCTCCTAGGGATTAAGCCTTACTACTTTCTTCCATGTGATCTGAGGCCTTAAATTAATTCTGTATGTAGATAGCAGTTTCAACTCAAGCGTGAGCTTCCTTCAGCTGCAAGCCACTACTGAAACTTCCTACAGTAATCAATGCCCTTAAATCAGTTTTGTATGTAAGAGATTTTCTGTGACTGTAGCTCAAATTCCTTGCTTCCATTATCTAAACGTGCACTTAATAAAATAATGCTAGTAAAACATTCTGACCAGCTCTTGTTCTGATTTTTGAAATGCATACTCCATCTTAATTTCTTCACAAAGAAGCATACTTCCTGCCAACCTCCGGAAGGATTATAGAAATCAGAGCATGTTAGTAAAGGGAAATAGCTGGCAGCTTTCCCATTGCTATTAACATCAGCTGAAGCCCCAACACTTTCTGTCAGACATGACGTGAAAGCAGTTGTGTTGTTCAGCTTTTCTCACACTTGCATTTTTCGTAAAAGCCTCATGTATTTTCTAAGTGAAAAGCTTTGTGTTTGATGTATAGTGAACAATGATGTAGTGTAGGTGTATTAGCAGAGCTGTGCCACCTAACATCAGTTCTGTTATGTGCTTTAGTATTATAATTTAAGTACATGCAAATAGATTTACAGAAGACTAGATAGATGGTGATGACTTAAAGCACATGAGGCCAGCTACTAGGCTCAAGCACAAATTAAGATGACAGCTGAGGGGGAAATGCTTTTTAATGACCATATGTAACTCAGTTTCAGGAGAAAACTCAATGAAGCCAAATTCAGGAGTTGAGTCTTCACAGAAGCTGGAACTTCAGTGGCAGTCAGGTAGACAGCACAGAGCAAACAGGAGTCATCTTCAGTCACAAGAATCAGTAGAAGCTTATTTCTAAACAAAAAAACATGAATACATTTCAAGTTCCAGCTTCATGCTTTTTCAACATAGCCTTTAACAGGTTTGCTCTGGAGTTCCATTTAGAAGCATGAAGACATACCTGCATGTTAAGTAATTCTTCAATCTTATTTTGGATCTGTCCATATACCTCATTAAACAGTTCTTCCTTGGATTTTGTTCCATTCAAGTGCACTTAAAATAAGAATGTAAAATGAGAGCTATAATAGAATTATGCTTCTCTAACCCTGTCAGATTCTAATTTGAAGAGCATGCATTTGCCTTACTGGAAAAAACATACTCCATCTAACAGTTTCATATATATATATATATATATATATATATATATATATATATATATATATATATATATATATAGACTTAAAAAGCTTTTTCTTTAACAGCCTTACAAAAGTGCTTCAGTTATTAAAGACTTACCCACGTCAACACCAAGATCTTCCATTATCTTCCTGTGCTTTACATACATAGGCCAAACGTGGCCATCAAACAATCCAGGTGGATCAGGTACAGTGTAATTTCTTGAACTATAAATTAATACAGTGTTATTCAAGCGTAGTCTAATTAAAGTTCAGGCAAATTATGTAATGTACACTCAGTTTTTCTACACCTTATCTTGAATGTATTTCATTCAGTGTAGTTTTAACCTTATCAACAGTGCTACCACCAGCATGCAGAGGTGCTAAAAAAGTTGAAATGTGATTGTTTGAAGTGTGCAAGTGATTCCTAAATGACTGATGGTGGTATTCATGAGTAGTCTTCTGCTGCAAGTTTAGGAGAAATTTGGGTGAAATAGTTGTCCACAATAGCCTGATTAAAAACCTGTAGGGTTTGGTTGCTGGAAAGAACTCTGTTTTTTCAACATAGTAACTAGGTTAATATTTAGCCTATCAAAGGAAAAAAAAAAGCTTTAAGGAGAAACCAAGTCTTGAGCTGCTGAAGATGTTACTGGGCTAACAGAGGAATTTACAAAGAAACTCACCTTCTTCTCCTTTTACACTCCTCATATGGAATGGAAAGAAAGTACCGATGGTGGAATACATCAATCAGGGGCCTGAAAGAGATGTGTGCTGGGTTACAGCTTGCCTGTACCAAGGAACAGAAAGGGAAATCTATGCCTGTCTCTTCTGGCTGGTGCATGCTTCAGGCCTGTGACAGCTGAAATCACATCAGTCAATACTGGCACCGTTAGTATTATGTAAGGTCAAAACACATGAAGTTGTACTGCACGTACCCGTAGGTGTAAAGCAGGAAGCCCTCGATAATAAGGATGTGGATCGCTTCATCTCCTCCCTCCCTGTCTGGTGAGATCTGGGCATCCAGCGTGTTGTTGATCCCATGGGAGCGTTCAAACTTGACTGGGTTCTTTATCCAAGCATTTATGGTACTCATCATCGCCTCCATATCTAACGCGCTGATCACTGAGACAGAATGCTATCGTTAGCCAGTAACTGAGCACCAGCTGGTATCACTCAGCACCAGGAAGGCTCAAAGTATTATGTTGGAGTTACGCTGTTCAATAATGCTGGAGAGAGACCTTACCATCATACTGCTTAAAGCCATCTTCAACTTCTATTTCATCTTGAGGCTGAAACAGCAATAAGAAGAAATCGTTTGGTCGGGGCAGCTGCCGGGAGCGGCGCCATAACAAAGCAGAAACGCAGAGTAGAATTTGGAGGGCGCCCCAGCCCCGCAGCGGTCTCTGCGCGCAGATAACGGCGCCGGGAACGAGGAACGATAACGCAGCCGCTGTTCTGACCGCCCAGCCGGCCACGAACACGCTCACCTTGAAGAAGTCGTCCTGGTGCACCACGCTGCAGTTGGGCAGGGCCTGCATCAGCCTGCGGGTGAGGGTGGTCTTGCCCCCGTTGGTGACCCTGGGAGGGAGCGCGGGCCGTCACCGCCGGGACGGGGCGGCGCCCCTCGGGCCACGTGCGCGCGGCCGCCCGCAGAACCAGGCGGCGCATTCCAACCCCCCCCCCCGGCCGCACCCCGCGCACTGCGGCACGAGGGAGCGCCCGTCCGCCGCGCTCACCCGCCGATGCCGATGATGATGTTCATGGCGCGGCCGACAGCCGCCCGGCCCGACTCCTACAGCCTGTTCCGGGGGAGGAAGGGGTAGGAAAGGAGGACGGGACCGGGGATTCGGGGTCGCCGGTAGCGGCCGCCTACGTGCCTGAGCCGGGACCCGGGGAGGAGAGGGGTGGGAGAGAGAGAGGAGATGAAAGGGGAGAAGCCCAACGTCAACTGCTGGGCAGCGCCATGGCCGGAGGAGCAGGGAGCAGTAGGGCCGGTGCGCGCCGCGCCGGAGCGCTCCGCAAAGGGAGGCTGGCACCCGCTGCATGGGGCTTCCCTGCGCTGCTGCGCGCCTATTGGGCGGCCGCCGCCCCGCCGCGGCCAATGGTGAGCTAGTGATGCCGTGCGCCTGGCGCTCATTGGGTAGGCCGAGCTCGCCTCGCGCCCGATAGGGCCGCAGCGCGGCCGCTGGGTGGCGCTTATTGGCCGTAGAGCCGAGGGTGGGCGTTGCCACAGCGGCGGCGCTACAGCGCCCGGGAGGCGGTGGCGGCGGCGGCGGCGGCTGGGGGGGGGTGCAGGCCGCGCGGTGGCGCGCGGAGGCGCAGTGTTGCGGTGTGGAGGCGCAGTGTTGCGGTGTGGAGGCCGCGCGCTTCCCTCCCGCGCCCTGGTGGTTCGCTCCGGTGGCGCCGACGGCCGCGCTGCGGGCAGCGAGGGGCGAGCTGGCACCGCCGGGCCGCCATGCGGCGCCGCTGTAGTGCCCGGCGGGATGGGGTGGGGGCGAAGCGCGGCAGTGCGGGGCCGCGCCGCGAGGCCGCTGCCGTGCGGCCCTGCTGTCCTCTGCGGGAGCCGCGCCGCCATCCGCTCCGGTCAAGGTCACGGCCGCCCTCGAGGCCCGAGCTGAGCTCAGGCGGGCGTGGCTGGCGGCGCCGGGCCCTGCCGGGTAGCCGTGCCGGTGCCGGTGCCGGTTTGGTGGCGCGACTCGTCTCCGCTTTGCGGCGGGCGCAAGGCCTCGGGCTGGCGGTGCCGGCAGCGGCGCTCAGGGAGCCCCGGACGGAGCCTCCGTGCCCGGTTTGTGGGAGGCAGTTGCGGGAGGCCGGCGCGGCACCGGGCTGTGCGGTGCTGTCACAGAGCTCGGGAGCTGATTCCAAACCACCTCTGTAAGCCACGTCTGTTGGACTCTGAGGTTCTTCCACAGTGTGGTTTCTTGCTATTATTTCTGTTCTAAATCTTCTCGTTCACCAAGCAGAATAATTTTGCTGTGCCCTTCAAGTTTCTTATCGTGTCCAAAGCCCGTTTTTGGTATAGAAGAATGAGGTGCTGCCTCCTGCCACACCTCACCACTCAGATATCGAGCATACGGCCATTGGGGGACAGTAACGCCTTGGGAGTAATAACTGAGCAATAGTGCGGAGCAATGATAGGGCAAACTGCATGTTACGCTCAGTAGAGGGGATCTGGAATTCAGGCACTGTGGGCTCAGCACGGCCATGCCCTGCCCCTCGCATTCAGCATCTGTGTCTGCGCGTGCTAGCCGTTCCCCCGGCCCTTTGTCTCTCTCTTCTTGACGATAGTGCTGCTGTGGGGAAAAATAGAGGGAAAGAACAACAGGATATTGTCCGCTTCTGGCCCCTGTGCCAACAGTGACAAAATGTTGTTTTCTTTGCGTTTTCGGGATTCTGGTTGGCTTTTATTACTCACGGGTGCGCCCGAACGCATGAAGATGTGTTTTTAAATTCTTGCAGTTACTGTGGAAACCTTGAGTCCCTGGGAGGAAGGTGGTGCCCCGTGTCTGCATGCGGACGTTCCTGCTCTGGAGGATGATCCTCTGACCCGTGCAGAGGAAAAGAGGAGCTCAGCTGTCAAGCACAACAGGAAGGCGTGCGGTGCTGCGGTTTGCTGGGATGACACCTGCAGAGCTGCCGCAGGCGTGGAAGTGAGCCACGGGCTGCATGGTAGTGCCGAGGGAGCTGCGCTGCTGCACGAATCTCCTGCCAAACCACAGTGCTGTTCTGGCTCCCATTCCCTTTTCTGACACCTGTAGTGAGTCTGAAGCACACTGCAACACAGACTTCTGCAGCAAGTGCTGAAGTGAAGAGGGCATGGAGCAGCACTGAAAAAAGCCCTTTTAGCCATCAGGATTGCAGGCCAGGGACACAAGCTGCAACTGCGCCGGGGCCACCAAGCCAGGAGCTGGCTGCATACAGCACTTGAAGGAGGACGAGCAGGGCACAGGTATGCAGCGAGCGCGGGGCTGACGGCAGGGCTATGCTGCAACTGCAGGGGGGGCTGGGGACGTGCCCCCATCTGATTTGATGCTGATAA